ATATATATATATATATATATATATATTATATATATATATATATATTATATATATATATATATATATATATATATATATATATATATATATATATATATATATATATATATATATATTATATATATATATATATATATATATATATATATATGATCCAAATCTCGTTCAGTTTCGCTCCCCCTTTTCCCATTGGCTTCTACTCAGCTCTGCCTTTGGCACTTTGAGCGTACCCAATGTGAAGATTTGCGTAATTTCCTCTTTGACCTCCCAAGGGATGACAACTGCTTTTGGTCCTGCAACCCTGATCAGGCAGCCTTATAAGTAGCCGAGATCATAACCTATTGAATGGAGGCGCACATCCCCTCCTCTACAAAAACTTTCTCTCCCCCTAAACCTTGGTTTGACCGTACCTGCTCCGTGGCTATCTAGGCCAGGAATCGGTTACACAGGTCTTACCAAGCCTCACCTTCTGATTTAACTCAATCTGCTTTTATTGTAGTTAGGAATCGCTGTACCATTCAAATTCGAAAGTCTAAGGCTTCCTTTAAAAGAAGGAAAATTGATGACATTAACTCCTCTCCAAATGACAAATGTTTCTGGTCCTTAGCCAAAAACCTCCCCAAAAATTTCTGTATCTCAAGCTTTCCCCCCTCTCATTCGTTCTGATAGTTCTATAGCTTGCTCTCCCACTGACAAAGCCACTCTTTGGCTTTCATTTTTCTGCCAACTATTCTATAAATGATTCCAGCACACCCGTCCCACAAACTATACCCCTTTTTAACCCCATGCTCCCCTTATTCTTTCTTCACTCAAGTTCATAAGGTTTTTCACTCTCTAAAGACGAACAAGGCACCTTGTCCCGATGGCATCCTTGCAAGGTTCCTTAAGGAGTTTTCATATGAACTGACTCCTGTGCTTTGCCATCTTTTCTGCCTCTTTCATCTTGGAAGCATGCTCTAGTGTGGCTGCTCTATTCCTTCAAACTACCGACCTATTGCTCCAACCTCTTCTATTGCTAAAGTTTTGCTCAGTCCTCAGTTCTATAAATGCCTTGAATCTAACAAACATTTTTCCGATCACCAGCACGGCTTCCGCAAGGCAAGATCCACTGGTGACCTCCTATCCTATCTTACTCATGTTAGGCTATTTTCTCTGAGGAACAATGGGGAATCATTTGTCATATCCCATGATATATCTTAGGCTTTAGATAGTGTCTGTCACAGGGTTCCGTTGTCCAATATCCCTGCCTAAGACTTTGCCCCTTCTCTGTGTTCTCTGATATCCAGTTGTTTTTCTGACCGATTTATGTCTGTAGTTGTCGATGGTGCTACATGTAGCCTTTTATCTATTATCAGTGGTGTTCCCTAGAGCTCTGTTCTTTCATCTACTTTGTGCCTTCTCTTCAACAATGATCTTCTATAATTCCCATCTTTCTCTTTTCTTCATGCCTCTGTTGACGAGTCTACCTTTCACTTTTCATCTGCCTTTTCATCACAACCTTCATCTGCTACTCGTAATTAGTCTCATATCACTCTTTCTTCTACTCTCAACTCTGATTTGCAAAGAGTATCTGAGTGGGAATCCCAAAATTTAGTTAAATTTAATGCATCCATGACACAGTTTCTGACTATCTCTTTATCTTCTCCTCCTGATAATCCTATTGTTTACAAACAAACGAAATATACCCTCTTAATTCTGTCAACATATTAGGAAAACATATAGCCTTTAACTTGTCTTGGAGGAATCACATAATCCAAATTTCTAAATCTGCATTCAAAAAATTGAGGTTCTGTTTTGTTTTCTTCATTACTTTTCTACTTTACAGTTACTTAAAATCTATAAAGTTCTTTTCTGTCCTTGCTTAGCATACTGCTTACTCATCTGGGGTGTTTCCTCTTATACTTATCTCCTTAATAGGGTTGAATCTAAGGCAGTCACAGACTCATTAATTATCTTTCTCTTACTTCTAATCTGGATTCTCTCCCTCTTCACAGTAAGGTATGATCCTTTTCTCTTTTCTATCGCTACTACTTCCATCGCTGCTCTGATGAGTTGGCGAGTCGCATCCCTCCCCCACTGCCGAGGCCACGTAGCACTCTCCAAGCGGCCTCATCTCACAGATAAAGTGTGGAGATTTGTAGCTCGCGGATTGGTCGGTGCAGCGACTACTTCTTTCCATCTACATCCAGACTCTGGAACTCTCTTCCTCCTCTGACTTTTGAAATTCTTATGACCTATCTTCCCTCTAAAATCGGGTTTATCATCATCTCGGGGCCTAATATTCCATATATCTTTGTCCTCTGTACTTTGACTACTTTTTCTGTCTGTCGATTTCCTTTGAGTATCATTACCTCATCTCTATCTTGTCCTTAACCTCTTTCTTTTCCTCCGTCTTGGTGTTTTCTCGTGCCCGGGAGGGGAGATGCTATCTACGATTGTCAGGAGGATCCACTGTGGGTTTAGCTTCAGACCTCAAGTCAGGTGGACTGTCATGTGGCATAATCTTAATAATGTATATTAAGATTGCTTCTTCTACAATGTCAGATTTTCAGTGTCCATTCGATAAATTTAA